TCTGAAACTGTATCACCTCCTGAGTACTCATCGTCGCTGTCGTCCGCAGCAAGCAAGCTCTTCTTGATCTTTTCTTCAGCCATTGTATTGAATGAGATTGATCAAACTCATATGGTGCATATATATATATACTAGGTGAGTCATTTAAGGTGGTGACTAATGGCGATTTGGCTTCACGAGATCAAAAGACATTTATTTGGCGTTTTTCTTCAAGCGGCTCTTTGGATACTCACAAATCTTTTTTGTACTTATCCTTAATTTCTCTCTTTTTTTTCTTTTTTTTTTTCTGTATCCAACTTGGTAGTGTGAATCGACTTACAGCGACCAATCAGAAAATTCCACCTGTCAGCAGTTGTTATACATGGACAAAAGTCGATACATCAATTAATCGACGCTGATTTGTCGAGTTATATTTCCCGTTTACCATTTTGTTTTCTTGTTATGATTTGGGGAATCTCTCACGAATTCTATCAAAAGAAATAGCACTAAAGGCTCGGAGGAAGCCTGATGGAACATGGAAGATTGTGCTCTGTTTTCTTCTGACAATTTTTACATAAGTAAAACGCATTTGTTTACTATTTTTTTTCATATAAAACATGAAAAACTTATATTTGAATTAATCGAAATTAAAATTATTAACAGAAATATCTAAGTTTATATGAACCTTTTAACAAAAAAAAAAGTTTATAAGAACATAAAAATCATAATAGTTTAGCAACATTTAAATTATTTTCAAAAATTAGTAACTTAGATTAAAATAAATATTAGATCACCTCATAATCTTGAGTTTGAAACTCCAAAGTCCAAAGAGCATCCAAAAATCCGACGCAAACACCACATTTTGATAAGAATTATAGAACTAGTGATTTGCATTTTAAATGTTGATACATATAGAATAAGCATAATCAAACAATGATTACTGAAAAATATGGTCCATTAATATCGTATAAAAATGGTTGATGGACATTGAAACCCTAGTGGAGAATTTGTCACATAAGTAAGGCCCAAAGTTTTTGACCCACAAACATATCCATTAAGTTATAGTTTAGCGAAACCCCTTTAACAAAAAAGAAAATTTTCAACTAGTGAATTGTTTCTAGAGAGTTCTGTACAACCATCCAAATTTCAAACATGGTATAAAAGATGTTATTGACAAAATAAAAATGGAAACAGTGAAACGTATAGTCGGAAAATGGAATAAAATCTAGATGCCATATATTATTCTTACTTGTTCTAAAGTCTTTAATAAAAATAGTCGGTATTACTTGGACAAGGAGCAAAACAATATGGAAAAAACTCTTCTATTCTGCAAAAGGCGTGCAGCGCATCGTTTTGGCTTCTTGCATCAGAGCTGACTGTTCTCATCCAACGGCTGTTATTAAAACAATCCAACGGTTTTGGCTAAATCCGTGACGTCTTTATATATCGAACCAGACCACCAACCCATTTCCTCAGCTACTACTGTTGAAGCGATTCTCACTAAAACCCTCGAACACATCGCCTTTATCTCTTTCTCTAGATCTACTCGCTATGGCTACTATCACCGTTGTTAAGGCTAGACAGATCTTCGACAGTCGTGGTAATCCCACCGTTGAGGTTAGTTTCTCCGATCACTTTTGTATTTCCCAGTCACTTTCCGGCTTTGTACAGTATTCGTGACGGATCTGTTTGTTTGATGACTATCCGATGCTAAAACCACTATTCAATCGTTTTTTTGTAAACCTGAATTGATCTAGTAGTCGTACGTGAATGAGATTTGGTTTTTGTGAACGATGATCGGTGATTTGATCTCGGCGATTTGGATCGTGAGTTGTCGATGATGGAGTTGATTTTGTTTATATGATTTTTGCGACGGATCTATTTATTTCCATCTGGTTTTTACGATTTCGATTGTTTGCTAATGACGAATTTGAAAAGAAAGCTAATGATTTCTCTGATGATGTTGGTTTAGGTTGATATCCACACGTCAAATGGTATTAAGGTTACAGCAGCTGTTCCAAGTGGAGCTTCCACTGGTATCTATGAGGCTCTTGAGCTGAGGGATGGAGGATCTGACTACCTTGGAAAGGGTGTATCTAAGGTGAGAGACTGCGATCTGTTCTGTGTGTTTTTTTAGTGTTAGTAGAGTTATTTCAATTGATCATGTTGACTGATTCGTTATTTGTTAATATCACTAGGCTGTTGGCAATGTGAACAACATCATCGGGCCAGCACTTATTGGAAAGGTGAGTGACTCACTTTAAGCTACTCTCAGAACATCAAATTTGTGTCTAATTCTATGCGCTAGGCTCACTCATTTTATTTTTGTTGCTTTTATTATTTCTTGCAGGACCCAACTCAGCAGACTGCTATTGACAACTTCATGGTCCATGAACTTGACGGAACCCAAAACGAGTGGGGGTGGTGCAAGCAAAAGGTACTTAAAAGGGAAAATTCATTTTTTGTGTATTCACTTAAGAATAGAAGGCAAGTCTGACCATCTTGCGCCTTCTATCTGTGTTTAGCTTGGAGCCAATGCGATTCTTGCTGTGTCTCTTGCTGTCTGCAAAGCTGGGGCTGTTGTCAGCGGCATTCCTCTATACAAGGTAGAACGATCTGGCACTATTAAGTTGGTTCCCTCTGTCCATGGAAGATAAGATTGTTACTGCTTTGGCTACTTGGTTTTTTCGGTGATAAATGTTCTAAGCTTTTCCCTTTGTGTGGTATTTGGGTGCAGCACATTGCCAACCTTGCTGGTAACCCCAAGATTGTGCTACCAGTTCCTGCCTTCAACGTCATCAATGGTGGATCCCATGCCGGAAACAAGCTTGCTATGCAGGAGTTTATGATCCTCCCTGTTGGAGCTGCTTCTTTCAAGGAAGCCATGAAGATGGGTGTGGAAGTTTACCACCACTTGAAGGTAAATCTCCAATATTTTTTGGTCTTTGAGATGCTCTTCAATGAATATTCCATATACATGTATTACTTTTTCGCAGATGGTTCCTGTGAACTAACATGTATTACATGTTTATGACTTAACCATCTTGTTCTCATATGTTTTTCCAGTCTGTGATTAAGAAGAAGTACGGCCAGGATGCCACAAATGTTGGTGATGAAGGTGGGTTTGCACCAAACATTCAGGAGAACAAGGAGGGTCTTGAATTGCTCAAGACTGCTATCGAGAAGGCTGGATACACTGGAAAGGTCTGTCTCTTATCTGATGTAATTTGGCTGTCCTTTTACCCGAAACATAATTCATGAAACTAATGGATCCCATTCAATTTTTTCCAGGTTGTCATTGGAATGGATGTTGCCGCTTCAGAGTTCTACTCAGAAGACAAGACCTACGACTTGAACTTCAAAGAAGAGGTGAAATTTCTTTTTCCTTAGTAACAGCTTGTCAGGATAGAGTGTGAGAAACCTGTTCTTAACTTGTAGCTGTTGCGCTCTTTGTTTCTCTGCAGAACAACAATGGCTCTCAGAAGATTTCTGGTGATGCTCTAAAGGACCTGTACAAGTCCTTTGTCGCTGAGTACCCAATCGTGTCCATTGAGGACCCATTTGACCAAGATGACTGGGAGCACTATGCTAAGATGACCACTGAGTGTGGAACCGAGGTTCAGATTGTCGGTGATGATTTGTTGGTCACTAACCCCAAGGTTTGTTTTTATTTGCCAGTGTTCTTACCAGTTTTTTTTTGTTGTCTGCCCTCTCTTAAAATGCTCACATCTCTCTTATACTCTTTTCTTATTCCAGAGAGTTGCTAAGGCAATCGCAGAGAAGTCTTGCAATGCTCTTCTTTTGAAGGTTAACCAAATCGGATCTGTAACCGAGAGTATCGAGGCAGTTAAGATGTCGAAGAAAGCAGGTTGGGGAGTGATGACCAGCCACAGAAGTGGTGAAACCGAGGACACATTCATTGCTGACTTAGCCGTTGGCTTGTCCACTGTAAGTTGAAACCATTGCAAGCATTTAACTAGCAATCTCATGCTATATCTTTTGTCGGACTCTCATTTGGATCTTTCTGTCTATACAGGGACAAATCAAAACCGGTGCTCCTTGCAGATCCGAGCGTCTTGCCAAGTACAACCAGGTTTAACATCTCAGACCACTAGTAAAGACTTTATGTTTGACAACCAGAGTACATTGTCTAATATGTGTCTTGTTTCTCAACAGCTTTTGCGTATTGAGGAGGAGTTGGGATCAGAGGCAATTTACGCTGGAGTCAACTTCCGCAAACCTGTGGAACCCTACTAAATGGAGCTTTTAGAAGCAAAGTGGTCTTCTTTGTGACGAGGAGAAGATGACCTGAGTTTGATCATTTGCTTTAATTAAATAAAACGTTCTGTTTTTGTTTCTTCTTTGTTTGGTTTCTTACGTCTTTTGTTGAACCCTTTTTGGGAAAAGTTACTCATTTTTGTAAGGGAAACATGAGAATGCTCTGCCTTTGTCGAGGACGGTAGCCCCTTATTTCAATCTAATTTCGGCTTTACTCTTTAATCTTCTCATGTGATTGTTATGATCTCTGGTGACATACGATGGAGTTTTAACAAAAATAAAATAAGTTCTTCATTATTATATTAAAATTGCAACTCTAGTAAAGGTTTTAAAATAGACCTGCTTGTGTTCATGACTACTATTATTCAACAAGAGTTCACACGTAAAAAAGGTGTGAACACTATCTGAAGATGACTAGAAAAACATTCATACAAAATTGTGTAGATAAATCATTTTCTTCTCGGTTTATCACTTTTATCGTTCACTTTCTGTTGAAATAAGCTTAATCAAGTGATGGTGAAGGACAAAAATTTCTTGAATTTGGGTTGTAGAATAATAACAAGTACTTGGTTTATTAACAGATATTCAATAAGCAGGTTTGCCCGAGTGGTTAAGGGGGAAGACTTAAGTTCTTCTGCACATAAGTGCGCGTGGGTTCGAACCCCACAGCCTGCATATTTTTCCTAAAATCTTTTTTCCTAAAAACTTCATGCATTGAAAATTTCAAAAAATAAAGAGAAAGATGCAGGCTGTGGGGTTCGAACCCACGCGCACTTATGTGCAGAAGAACTTAAGTCTTCCCCGGGCAAACCTGCCTTCTTGTCTATTGACTACTGAGAGAACAATCACAATTCTCAAACAGGAACAAGTATGTTTTGGTAACAAGTTTTATTATTGCTTTGCAATGTGAATCGAATAAAAAGACAAAGTAACAGTGTAATACAATTAAGTTCCCATTCAACATATCATTTCTTGGAACGTTTTAAGTAAACAAATAAACCTATGCTCGTTAGGACAATAGCACCAGCCAAGACGCCAGTCTGCCACCAAACACAACCGCCATTTCCCTCGGACAAATCTGCAATCGTCTCAAGAGGAGCAATTGTCTCGGTAAAATCAAGATGTAGTCGCAAAACCTTTTGCCCCAAAGACCTAGCAAAAGTTACAGCAGCAACAAGATCACTGTCCCTACTAATCAAAACTTTATCACCTTCATCATCTTGGTACATTATCTGAAGGCCTGAATCCGCTTCACATCTTTGCATCACAACACTCATCAGCTCTTCAAAACTCTCACCAGTTGAGTTTAACCGCTGTACTCTCCCTTTACGATCTTCGAATTTGAAAGCAAACGAGCTCACAAGTCCTTGTGATGGACACGACTGCTTCCCTTCTGAATTTATCAGCATTGCTGACATATCGCTGTGTGTTTCGTAATCCTCAGGTGGTTCTAACGCAAGAGCTGAGTCCCAGAACTTTTGCATCATTGTATTCGCCATATCGTTAACAGCTCCTGAGCTGTTGTTCTCAACCGTTGATATAGCTGCGTGAGTTATCTGCAGCACGTCTAAACAAGCTACGGCGAATCCGTCTTTATCGAAAACCGGCAGATGCAAGAACTTCCCATCATGCATTATATGCAATGCATCGAGGATTGTTGTCTCTATTGATGCACATTCAGGATTTGGCGTCATTACCTTTTCAACAAGAGTCAGCTCAGGAGATAGATTCTGTGCTACAACTCTCATGAGAATGTCCTTTGAAGTTAAAATCCCATGAATCTTGTTCCCAACCGCGATGATCACAGAGTTAACCCGCAAATCACGCATCTTTTTGGAAGCTACAAAGACAGGATCTGATGCTGATACAAGTGCAACTTTGGTATTCTCAGTGACTATAGTTGACAATGCAGGCTTGAACATCCTCTCTCTCAATGTATCAATGAAAGCGAAGTTTCCACTTCCCCAATGCCGTTCTTCCACTGCAGTAGCTAAAGCACTTCCTTGCTCTGCAGCTTTTTCCATCCGTGAGATAGCATCATAGAGACACTTTGTGATATCCAACAAAGCAATGACTTCACCATTCTCTACAACAGGCAAGTGCCTGAACTTTCCCTGAACCATCTTCTGAAGAGCCTCAATGGCAAGTGAATCAGATGTGACAAAAATGGGATTCCTTGTCATGACTTTAGACACCAGAGTATGCTCTGGTCTCAACCCTTCTGCAATCACCCTCGTGGCTATATCTTTGTCTGTAACAATACCGGAAAGAAGAGCGCTTGAATCAGTTAACAAAACCGCATCAACACGCCTAGCAGCCATCCTTCGACAAGCATCAAAGACAGTGGTTCCCTCATTAATAGTGAGAGCTTTGGATAACCGTAGCTTCTTGACTGTTCTCTCGCCATCAGAAACCGGTTGAGCAAGAGGTGAATCAGGTTTGGAGGTGTTCTCGTTAATGCTTCCGCTTCCGCTTTCGCTCTCTTCTGATTGAAGAACAGGTTTCTTAGAAGCTGATGATGTTCTCCTTATACTTGAAATGCTTCTTCTCCCAGATGAAGTTGGAGTAGTCGTCATATTGACGGTCTTTAATGACTCATCAATCTACAAAACCACATATACTTCTTAAGCAAACACAAGAAGAACAATCATTTGATCCATAATCTCTTTACATCTTCAGAAAAGAGATAATCAAACAACAAAACAGATCAAACAAAAAAACAGAACATGCAAATTCAGTAAGATAAGGACATACATTACTTATCTTAGATATTGGAGATTCAGACAAATTCAGGGTATCGATAATGGACATGAAGACAATGAGAATTCACGAATCCAACAAATTTTCAGAAATCTGATTCATATCTAAATGAAAGAATCTAACCTGTGAGATGCTATTTCAATGGCGTTGAAGATTTGGAAAAGTTTGAAACTTTCTCTGATGTTAATGTAATTTAGATTGTATGGGTTGGTGTATTGGTGTTGTTTACGAATGTTTCTTTCTGTTTCGTCTTCTATGAGCAAAACCCAATAATCAAAATCACAAATTTATATGTTTTGATCTTAAGAAAACTCACAAGGATTTGATTCCAGAAATAAGACTTTTCTTTCGCTATCTGTTCTTTTTTTCTCCTTTTGAGTTTTTTTCTATTTTCTGTTTTATTTTTTTAAAAATCGTTATCATCATCCTCCTTAACAACGTGTCTGGTGGTTGGTTTCTATCACTCAACCCAAAATTAAAAAAGAAGATTAATAGAACAATAATTCTGTTATTGTTGTTAGGTAGTAAGCTATGTTTAATAAATGAGGATTACCCTAAATGGGTGTTATTAGTTGGTGTCATTAGTAGATAAGGTTTATATTAGTCGATTTTATTTATCAGAGGTCATTTTAAGGAGTGAATTGTTTGGCGAATTGGCGTAAACAATATGTATATTCAACGTTATCACCATTATTAGGAGTATATATAAAGAACCTTTCTCGTTGGAGTTTGTTCATCAAAAGAATCGACTTATATACTTTCTAGAATGAATGTTCTAAGTGAACTTTTATAAACAATGATCCAAAAGATAGATCAATATTGCATGGGGAAAGGAACAGTTGAAAAAGTCATGCATTAATAAATAAAGTTTATACTTATTAAGTGGGTTATTGTAGTCTTCTTCTATGTGACATGTTTAAGATCGAAAGATGGCACTTGGCTTCCACTTGGCACTATCTCAGTTTGCATGAAATCACAATATGGTATTTGTCTCTTTGAGTTAAGTTTCACCATTGTTTATATGGATAATATCATGTCGATACAAAATGTATTATAATATCATAACATTATAACGTGTGCATGTAAAATAGGATTATAATAAGATAAGAATTAAGTGCTTTGCTAAAATTCAATGTAATTTATACTTTTCATGCATGGTGAATGAGTAAAAGAGTTGAATGAATCTGATACATGAGACGTGGATGGTAAGCGAGAGCTATGTCATTCACACGTCTCACACAGTGCGTGAAACGGGAATCTCCTGCCACCGCTTGAGAGGATTGACCTTATGGGATAAAAAAATCTTTCGACGCTTAAATCAGAAAATAATCACAAACATGTTATGAGAAAACAAATCAGCGAAGTCGTGGGTCTTGTATCCGCTGGTACTATTGCTCTGATTCTCTGTTTCCGGTCTTCAGCAAGATCCGATCATTATCTCCAGTCATACAAAGATTTTTTTGATTATTTATTTTTGTATATGTTGGATCTTTGTAATGTCCAAGACCTTACCCAAATTTTTGGGAAGGCCAATATTATAAAATTATGAATAAAACAAAGAACTAAGAACTATGGGAATGATATTGTTTTTTTTTTTAATATATAAACTACGTGAATGATACCATATCATAAGACAAAAAATAGAAGTATGGATTGAGATACAAGCGTGGCGTCTTTGTTTTCAAGTGACCTATCTCCTTGATTATATTAAATAAAAACTAGTAAACAGGTTACATGATAGATTCGTAGATTAGTAGTATTTCAAGTTATAATTAAGATCAGGATATTTATAGTTACAGAGTATGATCGAGTAACAAGCGACGATTTATATGAGGTTTTTAGGCATGCCGGCTTTAGACTATAGTCGATGAAGCAAGGACTTTAAGGTCGACGCCAAAATATTTTTTATATTTTGAACTTTTGAGAACCCTAGTTAGGCCTAAGCTTCACTTTGCTTGGCACACAGCCGGTTATATTGGTGGATCAATGTATGGATATTTTGTATGTTTGGAGTGATGGCTTTATCGAACTCTCTGAACACAACTCTGCTAACCATACATCCACACGTCGTGTGATAATTAGATCTTATATAATAGTCCAAAAATGACTTCCAACTCATATATTTATATAAATAGTCTTCTTTTGTGGTTATATGTTTGGTTATTTCTATTTATAGTTTAATTCAATACCAATATTACAACTAAATCAGTTTAATTTTTCTTTGATTTGGTCTTTGAATTCACTTTCATGGTCAGTTTCATTGTTTAAGATAAACTTGAATGGATTAAACCGAATTAGGCATTCACTTTTGATCAGTCTCTTCTGCCATAATCTTCATAAGACAAACCCAAATTTGTAAAAACTTTTTTGAAAAAGAAACCGTAAGTAAAAGTAAAAGCGTTTAGGATCCAAGTGTGGATTAGCTTCGTAATTTGAATTAGGTTTAGCTATACGAATTCGTTTTCTTTTGTACCATATTTAGTTGTATTGTTTTCAATAATAGTTTTAAACATTCGAATAATCCGTTCCCAACTTTTTATCCACTATTATTCGTCTCAGTTTCTAGGATAGATATGTCCACACAAAAAAGCTCTTGATTTTTTTTTTTTTTTTTTACAAATTCCAAATTTCTTTGCTCATAACCCAATCATTAGGTTATGACCACCATTGACTCACTCATAAGTCATAAGTCATAGGCTCATAACCAATCCAACAAGTTGTTAAGATTGACAACAACGATTCACTAAGATTCCAACCAAGTCCATGAAATAAATGATTTACAATACTCATTTCTCATGTACGTCTCTTTGAAGGTTTCTTGCATGACAGGAAATCAAAGGTTAGCACACTAATTACTCTTTTTTTCACACACATTCACAGTTTCACACATATGGTGCAGTATTTTGACTCCTATCGTACTAGACTAAAACATTTGGAATGATAAAAAACGAAAGACTCGTTGGGCAACTAGCCTAATAATCACTCTACTACACTAGCTCCCATATCAGTGGAAAATAATAATTCTAGAACGAATCATTTAACTTCTGCATATGTA